AAATCTTAAAAAAAAAAAAATCCAATTTCCAATTTGAATTACAAAAATTGCACTTTGAAGAAATTGAAATTTCCAATTATACTTTGGCATTTTTTGTCGATCATTTAATTGGGATGTTTGTCAGAGTTTTGTTTGTTAATTGTGTATGCAGGCTTATTATTAATCATTAATTGGTCTGGGACGAGTGCGACATAAACTATCGAATAATTGGAAGGGATCGAATTAAACTGGCAATCATAATTAAAGTGTCTTCAAGAGTGTGAAGTTCAAAAATAAATAAGGACACGTTAATTGGGATAGGTGAGAATGAAAGATGTTATCTTTTACTTCCTTTCTTAATTAGTTCAAACCCGCTTATAACGTGACGGAAGCCACTTTTTTTATTTTTTTATTTATCCGATTAAGCTTATCAAATGTTGGCAGCGCAAGGTATGTTAAAGAAGACTTAAAAGAGTACTAATTAAGTTTTTGGGTGTAGTTTTAATTAATTAATTAGAGCACACGAACCCGCTTATAACACTCGCACATATAAAACCCGTGTATAACATTTGCAAATCATGGGGTTTGTCTATTTTATTAAGCTTATAAAATATTGGTAGCGCAATAATGAGGCATTTTAAATGCGAATTGAATAAGTTCAACTGTTACCAATTAACCCGTTTATAACGAACGTGTAAAATTTGTTTATAACATCCCGAATTCTGATTTCTACACGGTAATCAAGCTTATATTGTGTTTGTGGCGCAATAACGAGGGCAAAGTAAAGCAAAATTTAATGGATATTGATTATATTTAGCGTCATTCTAATTTATTAAAACCCGACACAACGTTTTCTTTTATCAAAAGAAGTAATAAAAGATGTGTAAAAAATCAATCATTAAAAGTAATAACACGCGATATAAAGCATTTTTTCACACTAATGAATACAAAACCCGCATATAACGTCTCGAAAAACCATATATTTAGCAATTATGTAAGGTGTTATAACGAGGCAATTTTAAAATCAAAACTTAAGTTAGACTTTTTTTTTTAATATTAGCACTTTATGACATTAAAACATAGCTTAGTTTGATCTCGAAATAACGCCATTTATACAAGTCATTTTTTTGTAATTATTAAAGGATAATGTTTCAGTAGAATTTTCTTTAAAATGGGTAGAAATAATTGTTGTGTATTAGAAATTTACCTTCTTAATCGCACAAAATCCCGCATATAACGTTATACATTACTTTTTATATTATACAGTCAAGCCTGTAAACAACGACGGAAATATAAAAGAATGATCTCGCTATTTAGAGGTTATTTTGTACTCATCTTTGTTTTAAAAAAAAAAGAAATGACTCTATTTCGGGGTAGAGCCATTTGAGATTTGACTGTATTAAGAAATTAACCCAAGACAACGTTATTCGCGAGCAGATTCATTTAAAATCCTGTTCAAAAGAAGTAATTTTAACAAAATTATTTAAAATCCCGTATATAACGTTACTGTAAATTATTATTTTGTGTTATAAAACGTTTAATTTCGTTAAATACGAGTTTTTTTTATTTAAAAATTTTAAAAAATTACAGCGAAAGAAGGACGTAAATTACGTTTAACTTCACTTCGATTGATTAAAATTGTTTTATTGCCTTACACAAAAAGGCAGGAAAAAGAAAAAAAACAATAGATAACAATTGTTTTCCTCTTTTTTTTTGTGACAATTGAAAAGAAACACTGAAAACCCGCATATAACGTTAAAGTCTCCATTTATTTTTTTTAAAAATATAATGCAAATACTTCTTCTTTTTTTTGTTTAAACTGACGGCTATAAAAATACCCCGTTTCGTAATAACGAGGGAACATTTCTAATTCGACAATTAAGTAAAATTATCATCGTAAATCATCCTTTTGTTGTCTGGAATAGTGATTATAAGTTCCATAATTTTAATTTCTAACTTAAAAAAAAAATATTGAAGAGAAGAGAAAAAATAAATTAAAATCGAAGCGTGGCTTAAATTAATCTCCAGGTTTACTCTTAAATACCACAGAACATTAAATAGAGATGATTCAGGTTTCTTCCTTAATGAACCTTAAAAGTTCATTAGTGGCTCTCAGACAAGAACACGTGGATCAATAACTTAGGGCAGGAGGAGGAAAAAAATCGCGTGCATTACGGTCACGTGTAATGTACTGTACAGTACAGTACATACGTGCGTGTATGTGTGTGTATGTGTGAGCGCTGAGTCGGTGGAACGTATGCATTGCACGTGATTTGCGTGCACGGCCCTTTAAAAGTGCCAACTTGATTAATGTTTCGCATCTAATTAATTTGATAACGTTAGAAAATGCGATATATCGAGAGAAAACGTATAAATTAATTAACGAATGAGAATGTTTTTGGTGTACGAAACAAGTTTCGTACCTCCCCCAAAGACGAAAATTTGAAGTTTATGATTATAAATGAGATGAAATCGTATGTTTATGTCTAAAAATTTAATTAAAATTTATAATACTGTATATATACGTTCTATGTGTGTGCTAGGCATTATTTGTAATGCCTAGTAAATGGTTGAACATAGTCAAATAATGCGTAGTGTGTGTGCTAGAATATAAAGAAATAATACCTTTGTATGGTATATAAACAAATTATGCCTTTATACGCTAGGATATTGTGCCTTTATATGCTAAAATACAGACAAATAATGCCTAAAGTACATTTAAAATTTCTCGTATTTTTTTTCATGTATAAATGAAAGTGAAAGGAAAAAAAAAAACATTTATAAATTTCAACACGTTTCTTCCAGTCAAATTATTTAAAATTACGTTGAAAAAAAGAAGAAGGGGGGAAAAAACGTAATCTTCGCCAACATCTTCAATAATTCCAAGTTTATTGAAGCGATGTTAATGGACGAAAGACGACAATGATGATGATGATGATGAGGATGAGAAATGTTAAGTTTTTCGTCACGTGACCTTAACTTAATGCTTTAATTTGTACAGTTAACGATATTTAGATGCATTTTTCATTGATCGAGTGTCGTTGTCTCGGTCGGGGGTTCTGATCACCTCGTGATAAAACTGTTCGGGCTTTAAGACCGTTATCAATGAAAATGCCTTCGAGCAAACCGAATCTTTTTCCTTTAAAATTTTGTATATTACTATAATATTTTTTTTTTTCTTTTTTAAATTTTTATTTTATGGTACTTTGAAAGAATTTATTGCACATTTTAAATGATTTCATCGTGTTTTTTTTTCCTGAGATTTTTGGTGAAGATTTTAAGTAAATTGTGTCGAATCTCTTGTTAGTTTGTGTGTCGATTTTGGGTATGGTAAATGGGGTTGAAGTAGAAAAATATTGTATTGACAGTGAAGAAATTATGTCTAGAATGTAATTACGTATAAACTTAATAAAATAAACGTCTAGTATATACTAAGATACAGCCAAGTACATGCTAAAATTCAGTAAACTAATGCCTAATTTATGCTAGGATACAGCTAAACAATACCTCGTACGTGGTAAAATATAATTCAAATTATGCCAAATATATGTTTACACACGATTAATTAATGCCTAAAATAAAGTATAAGACGTAACTTATACCTAATAAGTGATAGCAGGTAATTTTTACTATGTTAGCATAAGGTTAACTACATACATACGAGTAAGACAATTAAGTAGCGTTTAATCATGTTATATGATATGATATATTCAAGTAATGCCTGTAGTATATTAATACACGGTAAAGTATTGTTTATCAAGTGATTAATTAATGCCTAAAGTACATTTAAAATTTCTCGTATTTTTTTTCATGTATAAATGAAAGTGAAAGGAAAAAAAAAAACATTTATAAATTTCAACACGTTTCTTCCAGTCAAATTATTTAAAATTACGTTGAAAAAAAGAAGAAGGGGGAAAAAAACGTAATCTTCGCCAACATCTTCAATAATTCCAAGTTTATTGAAGCGATGTTAATGGACGAAAGACGACAATGATGATGATGATGATGATGAGGATAAGAAATGTTAAGTTTTTCGTCACGTGACCTTAACTTAATGCTTTAATTTGTACAGTTAACGATATTTAGATGCATTTTTCATTGATCGAGTGTCGTTGTCTCGGTCGGGGGTTCTGATCACCTCGTGATAAAACTGTTCGGGCTTTAAGACCGTTATCAATGAAAATGCCTTCGAGCAAACCGAATCTTTTTCCTTTAAAATTTTGTATATTACTATAATATATTTTTTTTTCTTTTTTAAATTTTTATTTTATGGTACTTTGAAAGAATTTATTGCACATTTTAAATGATTTCATCGTGTTTTTTTTTCCTGAGATTTTTGGTGAAGATTTTAAGTAAATTGTGTCGAATCTCTTGTTAGTTTGTGTGTCGATTTTGGGTATGGTAAATGGGGTTGAAGTAGAAAAATATTGTATTGACAGTGAAGAAATTATGTCTAGAATGTAATTACGTATAAACTTAATAAAATAAACGTCTAGTATATACTAAGATACAGCCAAGTACATGCTAAAATTCAGTAAACTAATGCCTAATTTATGCTAGGATACAGCTAAACAATACCTCGTACGTGGTAAAATATAATTCAAATTATGCCAAATATATGTTTACACACGATTAATTAATGCCTAAAATAAAGTATAAGACGTAACTTATACCTAATAAGTGATAGCAGGTAATTTTTACTATGTTAGCATAAGGTTAACTACATACATACGAGTAAGACAATTAAGTAGCGTTTAATCATGTTATATGATATGATATATTCAAGTAATGCCTGTAGTATATTAATACACGGTAAAGTATTGTTTATCAAGTGATTAATTAATGCCTAAAGTACGGCAGATGAAGTGTTTTACTATGTACCAAGACACAAGATTTTGCTGGATAAACAATGAAATAATGCCAATGTTATAAATATATGTAAATATATTTATATTTATAGAAAATATTGCAAAATAAACTTTAAAAAAATTCAATTTTCTCATAAATAAATAAAAAAATACCTGAGTTAAGAAGTCCGTATGAGGAACCTTGCAGATGGATGAGTTCTCTGTGATTCGATCGATTCCGCTCACGTTATAATAAAAATCATGTAGAAACTAGATTTAACAGATTTAAATGAACATTTATTCCTTCATTTTTACAAATTAAACTCTTAAAACTCATAAAATTTTTAATTAAATTCAATCTTTATCTGCGCTTAATCAAGAGAAAGAGCTAAGAGATAAGTAAGCAAATGAAGAGATATATAATCGAGTAAAATATATATTTTTCTGCCATAAATTGCTAATTATAATTAAAATTAACTTAATTTATAATGGAATACAGTCGTATAAAGTATATAATATATTTTATTTACAGTTTATAATGTGTAATTTTGAGTAAAACATATTCAAATCATATACGTAAGTGTAGAAGATACCTTTAAAAAAAATGCATTATTTATAAATAAAAATCAAAAATTTATCGCGTAAATTTAAAAAAAAAATCATAAAAGTTATTATAAATTATAAAATTTCTTAATTTAAATCAATTACACATTAAATTTTTCATCGTTTAATCTGTTAATACGATTAAAGAAAGAACAACTCGAAGTCATAAAATTTAATAATTTAAATTTTAAAAAAATATATTAACGTCAGCACCGCTTAGAAAACAAAAATTTAATTTATAAATTTAAGAAAAAAAGCTTTAAAAATATATGAATATAAATTATATAAATATATTTTATCAAGTGACTAAATTTAACTATCGATTAGGTTAGCTTGTAGTTTATCTCCATCCTTCGTAATACTTAAAATTCTAATTTTTATCCAAATTTTAGAACCTTTAAATAAATTAAATTCACCAAACAAGCATTCTAGATAAAAATATTCTTCCAAGAGAGAAAAAAAAATTATATTAAATTGTAGATAACTCGTGTATACTCATGAATAATTTTTCCATATAAAATAGTGGAATAAAGTTATCTATTTATTATTATTTTCTTTCTTTATTTTTTCAAATTTAAGTCTTTATTATGTTTATTAAAACATTTTTCGATATATTTATAGATTTTTCTATGTTTAATTCATCTTTGTTTCCATGGCAAGAGAGTTCAGCATCTTTTGCTCTTCCGCATCTTCTACACAGCATCCCTCTTCTGTTCCAATTGCTAATATCGACAATGTTGAGCATATTCCACGATCGGATGGACGATTTCAAATAATAAGAACGACCAATAAAGATCAGACTTTAGTTTTACGTCACGAACACGTGTGTCAGTGGGCGTCATAAAGTAAAGGAGTGAGTAGCATGCCTGCAGTGTAGAGATGTGTAGCTGCTTTGACCGGACACATCGTCATACTGAATCTTGTGCTTTTCATTTCATGTTTACATTAATTTCTTCTAGAAAAAACAATATAAATATGGGTTTTGCCTTAAGAAATTATATATTTATCATAATTTCTATCACGTCGATAGTTTGTGGTGTGATAAATACGCAGGATGTAGGTAAGTGAAATTTGTTGAGTGATGTTGCTTGTTCTTTGTTTAAAGTTATAATAATAATAATAATAAAAATATGCCGTGTATTAGTTTAAATATAGCTTTGTATTTTATTTATAGTATAATTAAATTGATATTTATATATTTAACTACTTTTGGGGGTTATTTTACAGTAAAAAATTATAACCTTTACGTTGTATATATAACCTGCTTTTATTAACTTTAAAACTATAAATTCTTTATAATAAATGATATAAATTTATAAGATCTTTCTTATAAATGTCATAAAAACTTCATAGAAGTTGTGTATATTATATAAATTATATAATAAAATTAACACGATAAACTAAGAGTTGTATATAACATAAAAATTAACTTATAAAACTATTAAGGGGGCGATTTTTAAAGGTTTATTATAAAACAAAATTAAAGCCCTAACCTCTGATCAACGGACACTAAAGGAAACATTTAAAAATGGCCGCTGTACGAAGGTTACTTCTGTTCAAAAGAAAGAAATGGCCTCTGCTTAGAAGTGTCCGTTATTACAGGTTCGATTGTACACTTAATGAAAATTTTACCGTTAAAATTCGATGGTTGAAAAGACTTTATAACGTCATTACTTATGCTAGAAAGTATAATTTAATTACAAGTCTAACAATACAAAGCTTAATAAATTATTGTAATAAGTAAGAAAATGAGAATTAATCCTTGTAATGAAATTAATTTCCTTACTAGAAAACATACTTAATTGATTGAACCAAACACGAATAAAATCTTCACCGGATAATTAGTATTATAAATGGTAGAAGCCCTACTCAAAAATATCGAAGGTAAGGGATAAGCACACGAGTCACGTGTGATTTTTACGTGACAATGCATCTATAATACGATTAAATTTGGCCCAATGTAATTGTCCTAGACGACACTAATCTGACCGATAGTTAATGTTATTTGAAAGTTTGCTTTTGCAGTCTTTAAGAGAGGGAAGAAACTCGGTAAGCATAAGAGCTTAACCTAACAATTTTAGACAATATTTCCCTTCCCCTCCCCCCGTTTATCGATTCACGTTATTTAAATTGTAAAGTTTTAAAATCGATCCTAAACTGTTTATAATAATGAAAATATTCGTCAATAAATCGCATTTTCTTGTTAACAACTCCACGTTTTATGCGGCCTCCTACACACTATGTAAATGATGTGAGATACTTAGCCATCATCCAACATTTAAAAAAAAAGAAAAATGGCCCACCCACCATCGTGGCGTGTTTTATCAGAAGAGGAAAAGAGAGATCTTTGATTTCCTAAAATAGAAACATTTTTAGGATCCCAGTAGACTCAATTCTGTACGAATATCTTCAGTCTCCATTGAGTTATCTCTCTAGTGTGATGGTGCTATTACTTCACTTGTATCATTCAAGACAAGACTTTATACAGTATTGAGAACTTCAATAAACTATTCTCCAACGGAATTTTTTCCCTAAAAACGTAGGAAAATAAATTATATATTTAAATTTTCCATTAAACACCATTTTTATAGGTTTAATCTTTTTGTTTTTTTATGTAATCAATTGTTTATTACGTTGTATGGATGAGCATCGTATTGAAGCCATCACCATTTTCAGAATATATATTATTCCGGTGAATGTAGAATTATTTATTTAACATAAATTCTGTTTATGTACTTATAATAATGTTGAAAATAATACTACGAAATGTACAAGTGCTTCTATTGTCGTTACTAGTTGAAGAATCTTAAGTACCATCCCTTCAATAGAAAATATAAAAATTAATATAATTAAATTTAATGTAAGAAGATTGAGATGCTGTGGGGGAGGTATTGGAGGGTGTATGAACACTTCTATTGTTGTTTCTGATTATAAACACCAGCCCTAATTACAAATACCACCCTCCAATATACACTCGAAACATCAGTCAAATTAGATTTAATGCATTATTTTTTTGCTAGAAGCTAAAAGTGTTGGAGGAAGAGGATAGAAGGGCTTCTATTGTCGTTTCTAATTGAAGAAACTTAAGCATCATCCCTCCAATAGAAAATATAAACATTGCTATAATTAAATTTAATGTGTTTTCACAGTAAGAAGATTGAGATACTGTGAGGGGTATTGGAAGGTGTATGATCGCTTCTATTGTTGTTTCTAATTGTAAACACCAGCCCCAATTATAACCCTCCAATATGGACTTTAAACATAAGTCAAATTAGATTTAATGCTTTATTTTTTGCTATAAGAAGTTAAAAGTGTTGATGGAAGACGTAGGAGTGCTTCTATTGTTGTTTCTAATTGAAGAATTATAAGCACCATCCCTCAAATATAAACATTAATAAAATTAAATTTAATGCATATTTTTACAACGAGAAGATTAAAAATTATGCAGGAAAGTATAAAAGCGCTTCTATTGTCATTACTAATTGTAAACACCATCCTCAATTACAATTACCGCCCTCCAGTATAGACTTTAAACATCAATCAAATTAGATTTAATGCATTATTTTTCTGATATAAGAAGCTTAAAAGTGTTTAAAGAAGGGGGTAGAATAAAAGGCTATTGTCGTTTATAATTAGAGAATCTTAAGCATCATCACAAATTAGAGTTACCACCCTTCAACATAAAATTCGATTTAATACGTATTTTTTGCATTATTAAAAAAAGCTAAAGGTAAAGATTTATTATGACTTTTAAATTGTTAATATTGTATAAATTTTAAAAGAGTTTCGCCAGCAACAAGTTGCGTAACTTTCCCGGCAAAAAAAAAACTTTAAAATTGTTTGTGGCTCCATCTGTTATAAGATTTTATCTTAAAAGTTTTTATATTAGTAATTGTTATAAAATAGAAAAAAAAAGCTTAATTTTGTGAGTATAGATAAGTTTTATTTAAAAAAAAAAAGAAATTGCATTTACAATTAAGTCCGACCTCACATGACCTCTTCTATCTCTCCACCCCCTCGATCTTTAACCACCAAAATTTAACATCATCAATGTCCCTAATATACAAACCTCCCTGCAAAATTTCAAAAATTTTTGACAAAAACGAACAGAAATTATTAAGCTTTAAAGTGATTGAACAAAATCGTGCCCCCAACACACACATACCAGCATCCATACATACAGTAAACACCCCAAAATTTTTTACATTTCTTTACATGCCAAGGTCCCCTAAGTCCAAAAATACAAAAAAAAATTTTGGGGGGGTCATTTTTTGACCGATCGCCATACTTTCCCTCTGTTATAGCCTATATAACAGCCGGGGAAAATAAAATAGCAATATTTATCGATGAGTACTATATAAATTTTTAAAGAAAAATAAAATTTTGAAAGTGTGTGTGTGTATATATATATATATATATATCAATGCTATGTCAACCATTCGATCCTCTTGATTTATGGAGTGAGATACGGAGCATGATCTATGATGGCAATCTAAGACAACTGTTTTATATCGATATGAACTCATATATGGACTATAGAAATGATTTTTGATTCTTTGTGTCAATTGGCAGATTTATGACAAAGTTGGCTCCACAATGCTTCCAATTGTACCAATTTATCGAGAATAAAAAAGCAAAAAAAGAAAAAAAAAACAACAGCGTTTCTAGTATGAAAAGCGAATGTGAAAAAACCGGCTATTGGATAAAATATTTCAAGTTTTTCAAATATAAAATCTTGTCGTAAGTAATTGATTATACGGTTTGAATTTTAAATTAAGATCGCAGCTTTAAAAAAAATCTCTATACATTTAAAAAAATACAGGGTGGCCCAAAAGTCGGTTAACTGCATCCCTAGAGTGTTATTCGACAATTTATGCGCTTGTCGGTGTTTATTTGTGTATTGAGCGAGAAACTCGTTTAAAAATAATAAATTTAGTCTTTCTAATGGTTAACTAATTTTTGAGCTACCTTATATATATAAGAAATTTGAAACATGTCTTTTTATAAATATTTAAATAACGTATAGTGTAAAAAAAAATATATCCTAAACATCGGTAGTCCTCGGCATAACGCATAAGAAACTAATTTACACATTTTAAAAACGATAACTTAACGTCGATTGGTTGCTTATATATATTACCGACCAATCGACGTTCAGATAATCAGATAATCTGTCAATCATTTTTAAAAGATTTTTAACGTTACATCCGACTCATTATACATAAAACCACTTATGTTTCAGTGTTATTTAATGTAGAAAATTATCATTTTTTCTCGATTATTCGTGAAAAATATCATTTTTACGGTTACAATATACATATTAATGTTAATATTTAAGTCACTTTAATTACGGTAAAGAATCTTAATAAACTTAAACCCAACAAACGTGTTAAACGTGTAAATACATGTAAAACACTTTTTTTATATATATTATTATAATTAGTGAAGATACAACCACGAAAAAACCTAAAATTTGTAAACAGTAAATACAGCAATTAACTCAAATATTGATTTAATCTCATTAAATTCTCAAAGGAGCAATTTAAAAGCCAAATGTATAGAAATTTAATTAGGAAACCTTTGGGGAAAATACTAAATTTTTGTTGTTTTCTCTCCCCCCTCTCTCTGCCTTTCCTTTTCGGTAATTATTACAATAGATGCAGCACGTGGTAGATTATCCTTTATTTTTTTCCCCTCCTATTTCCTGAAAGGGTGTCGTGAAAAATATCATTTCTCTTTTACGATTTTTCCTTACAAGCGTATTGTTCGAATAAAAATAAAACACGAGAAGGAGAAGGAAGAGAAAGGAGGAGGAGGAGGAAAAAAAAGAGGAAGTATAAATTCTAGTCTATGACGAGCGACAAATATTAGATAATAGCTGTGAATTTTTTGATTTAAAATGCTAATTAAATTTAATTAATTAAATAATTTTTAAACATTAATATTAGAAAAAAAATTAAAATAAAACAGGGGGGAGGAGAGGAATAAAACGTGTAAATTCTAATGATGGGAAGCGTTAAATTTTAAGATTTTTTTTTTTCGTTATTTTAAATGGGATTT